CCCCCCCCCCCCCCCCCCCCCCCCCCCCCAGTAAAACTATATGGCCATGTCAATGACGTCACTAGGAGTTGAGAATGTTTCAAATATTCTTCTTTTTCTGTTCAAGATAGTTGGAGAGTTAAAAGGAGAAAAGACTTTAACATAACTCTCATGTTAATTTAGATGAGGGATGAGAAAATTTTTGACATGCCAAGCTATCTCATTCAAGGAAGAATAGACAGCCCAAGTAAGAATTAGTAGCAGACATGCCTAGTAGATACATTTCTTGCTGTTTTTAATTCTTTTCACTAAACAGATTAAACATGAGCATTCATGAGTTCCTGTGTTTTAATTTTGCTTCTGTACTCTTTCTGAGAGTTTTATTTATAAAAGTAATATCCTGCATTTTCATTGTTTTGTGTTTTGTTGGAAGCTTAAGAAAGTTAAGTTGTTCGCCGCCCTGAGTCCCTTTTAGGGAATAGGGCAGCATATAAATGAAATAAAACTTAAACTTAAACTAAAGTTAACAAATGCAAATGAGTGGCTATGATGCTTACTTTTCAAATTGCAAAAAATGATTATGCTTTGAGAATAATATCGTTTTTATGTGGTTTTATGGGAAATACTTTCATTATGTACGTGTAAGCTACTCAGTAATATCAAGAATCTTTTACAAATTGGTTATTCAACAACTTAGCTAAGAAAGTGTAATACTTTAAAATAAGTTTTGCTTTTCTAGTTTTGATATTTTTTTTTCCTTTTAGATAAAATTGAAGAAGCACAGAAAGAACTAAATGAAACAGAAGATTCTAAAAAAGGTAAAATCACGTTCCTTCTTATTCTTGCCCATCAGCCTCATAATATAAAGACTGTGGTTCTGATGTGAAAAAAAGTTTAGTCTGATTTTGGAATGATTTTAATGAAGAAAAAGCACAAACTAAATTGTTACAATAAAGCAATAAAAAGCTTGAATTATACTAATATGAAGAACATTTTTTTCCCAAAGGAAAGATTAATGCTCCATGATACCCGAAAAAATAATAATCAGATTATATTATCATTCACTACACATACTCTTTTAGGCTATTAACACATCAAGGGTGGCATCCTACCGGTTTAACAACCGGTTCGCTGCGTGCACACTTCACGTGCATGCACTCGCTTCCGCACGCATGCTCCTGACATGTTTGACATGCGCTGTGTGTGCGTGCACAGTTTACAGGAAAACAGCTGAGGTGCAACAATCCATTCCGCCGTATTGATCAGCTGGGTTAAAAAACAGGGAAATAAAGGTGAGTATAATGGAGGGTGGGCGGGCAGACCCACTTGAAGGTAGGACCGAGTCGGTTCTCTCACAGCTGATCTTCTGAGCTATCTGTTTGCCCAAACTGGGCCAAACCGGTAGAATCCCACCCCTGTGGCACATATATGTATATACAATACATATACAATGTGTACATTTATGAATTCATTAAAATACAGCTTTACTTCCTGTAAGATAGTACTTGCCATGCTTGAAGTGCTAGAAGTTATTTTGAGGGAAAGAAATTGGGAACATCAGTGTCAGATTTCAGAATATTTTAGTAAGTCTTTG